GAACTCAAAGAAACCAAAAGCTAGAAAGTATAAATAATATAATAAACTCAAAACCCCTGGGTCAACGACCCAGGCATCCTAACAGCAGCAAGATAGAGTCATTCTTTACTTTTTAAACTTATGAACAAAAACACGACTTAAAATGACAAAAACTGGACTAAAGTTACAGAAATAATTTTGGACTTGGAGTATTAGTCAGGTAAATGAGGACAACTGAAAATGTCTCTTTGAGGTCTGGGTAATTGTGATGAAAATGTATTCCTGGTTATCTTCCATTTTACAAACCACAAAATGAATGTGCTGGTGAGAAAATAACAGACAGAGATAGAATGATAATGATCATGTTACTGATAAAAAAATATAAATTCATTAAAAAAACAAACAGAAAATAAATAATAACCCTTAAAAACAAACTCCTCAACAACGATCAAATTTGTAATTAATTCACGAGAAATCAAAACATATGTAAACCAGAGTATAATATATTTTTAGACGTATGGAAATTAAAGCAATTTTGTGGTCGTATTCGAGTGATCTTATTCAGCTGTCTAATGAGTGAGTCATCGCTTGCTATGGTATAATCAGCATAAGGCACCAACTGAAGAGGAGCAAATGGAAGCAAATCGAAACAAGCCTTTGTTACACGATCATGACCACTTGCTCTTGTCAAACAGAAGGACTTAGAAAGAAAACCCTGTCTCTGATGCAAGCCTGGCTCAGATATAGTGCTGTTGCTTTCTGCAGTTGAGATAAATAAATGTCCTGCCACTGAGAAAATGCAGTATATACAGTGGATACATGGATACATGCTTTTGAGACTTTTCATTTTCAATACTTCTCTACAATTAATAATCTTACCAGTTTGGCTCATTTGTAATTCTACTGTAGAAAAAAAATCTTTAGGTCAGATTAGATTCTCATACCATTAAAACTGGATCAAAACAACCCAAAGTCAGTCAGACTTTCATTGTTGCTACTTTTGCCCAAACTGGATCTGATCAAATGATGCCTAGTTGACTGAAATTGGACTAAAATCCAAAAAGAAGTTCATTCAGCCATAACAAAGGGATTTACACTGTTTATCTGATTTTTAAGTAACATTACTTTACACTATACATTAAAGTATTGATTCACTCACATGAGCAATTTTTGTTCATCCAGAAAGGGAGTCAATATTCACCTTACAGGCACATGATGAGGATGGATCATTTAAGCATACATCTGTAATAATAGCATTGTTCATTTTTTATGGCTTGCACATGAATCTTGTATTGCATTAGTGCTTGAGGATGCATTCTAAGGGTTTAAAATCATGATGTGCGTGCAGAGAAAGGTTGACCTATGGAGAGACGGGCTGACCTGTCTTGATTGTCCATATGACAGCAATGTATATGTTCATTGCAGATTCACATTCATATCTAAAGGTCTGACCTACAGCTTAAATGTGTTATATGCACAATACATTTTTTTTTATGTCTGTGAGGATAAGTAAAGCGTTTCATTTCCTCAGCCACACCTGCAAATCCAATCTTATTAAATGCACATTGGGTTCACCACACTTATTTAAAAGTTAATTCTCAAATATTTCCATAACTTCATACTGAATTTTTATGACTTCACTGAAGCTATGCTGCAGTGAAACAACTTTTACAGATCCCCATGACATTCAAAATGTGTTTTACTGTAGACTAGAACATAAAGAATGAATCTTCCTTTCGCCTTTTTAGAGTGAGAAGGATTTCAGGGAAGCTATTTAAGTCAGAAACTGCAGTCTTCACAACAGACACCTAAATTTTGTTTTTACTGTTGCAAATGTTGTAAACTATTCAAAATAGCTATCTTCCCATTGGGCCGGGGGTCATGACCCAGATTATGGAAAGCGATGCTGTAGAGAACTGAGCCCGAGGCATGAGGATGCCTGTTGTTTAATTGAAGTTTAATGGAAAAGATGTGTGTGGCTTCAGTTTTCATGTGATAGGGTTCAGTGCCATCTAGTGGTAATAAGTAACACAGTTTAGTAACACTAAACTGTGACTGCATGTGGGTTTGGACTTCTTTTCTTACATTATTCAGAAATAAGAGTCAGAAGATTTATTATTATTTAATTGATGAAGAAACCAAATGAACTGCTTAAGTTTATAAAGCCATAAGGATTGCATTAGAAGGAACATAGTTAGTTCCTGGAGATTTATTAACAAATCCATGAGAGTTACATATGCCACACACTGTAATAATAATAATATACGTAATATGAGCATTTACAAAATAACAAATGTGAATCTGCAAATATGTAAAAGTCTAACTACTCTAACTAAGTCATTTAAGGTACAAAATACATTTACATACTGCATAAAAAGCCTTTGTAGTGTCATTTTGTATGCATCCACTGAAATAAAGTCATAGTCAGCAAGTTCATTCATCTGTTTCATTCATCGTTCTATCAGCCTGGTTCATTTTTAGTTGTTCTGCCTCGTCAGAATTCCTTGTCTCCATTGCTTTGCTCTTTCCGCGCTCCTCATCCAGTTTTTTATAGTTGTAGTAATGCATAACGAAGAAAAATATGCCAGAAACCAGCATGAATACACCGCATGCATAATACATGTATTTGTAATCACCAAAATAATCAACCAAAGCTCCTGAAAGAGAACACACATAATCTGTTAGTAACTCCATCTTGGAAATTTCTATACTTTGCTTATATGTATAATCAAAATCACAATTCAATGGAAAAAAAGAGAAGAAAAAAAACACCACAAACCTGCCATTGGAGGTCCCAGAAGCACTGGCCCACACTCAATAATGGTGACAAGTCCAACAGCAGTGGAGAAACGAGGAGCTCCAACAAGGTCCATTAGAACTTCAAAAAGGAGTGCAGAAAGCATCCCAAATGCCAAACCAAAGAAGACAGCATATACAACTAGGCCCGTATAGCCAGACGCCAGTGGGCACATTAGGTGACATACGCCATTGTATGAAACAGCAAAACTGAAAAAATACTGTATTCTCGGCCTGATCCACTTGGTGTTGCCAACTAAGCCAGTTGTCGGTCTAATGAACATGTCCGCCAGAGCAAAAATGGAGAGCAAGAAAGCTGCTGAATATTCATCAATCCCTTGATGTTTGGCATATGGAGCCATGAAAACCACAGGTGCAAAAAAGCCAAAAAACAAGACCACATTACCAATTAGATAAATGAGGAAGCCCCTGTGTCTGAAAAGTGAGAGATCTATGAATTTCTGCACAAAGCTGTGACCCTTGCTCTCACTTTGATCTTCAGTCTGAAGGTTATCAGAGTGGGTAGTGGTGTCTTCAGCAGCAGGGTGTTCCTCAGCTTTGCTTTCACACTTTGATGACTCATCTATTGTTTTCCGTGGTATGCTTTTGTTGACTGGTCTCATCAAAGCACCAGCTACACAGCAGTTCAGAACAATGGATCCCAGGATGAGGAAGCTTCCCCTCCAACCAAAGGAATCAAACAAAAACTGATTGAGAGGCGCCAGAGTGGAGAGAATAACCGGACTTCCAGTCATAGCGAGTCCATTGGCCATGGGCCTTTTGACCTGGAAGTAAGTGCCTATGATCGTCAGGGAGGGCTGCAAGTTGAAGGCGAGACCAAAACCTGTTAAAAATAAGGTTAAAATTACACACAGTAATTTATGAATTATTCCCTTTAGAATATTTTGAATAAAGTGCCTAAAGTACTTTTAGACAGTTGAATGCACCTCTTATTATTATCTGTGACATTAGTTTTATATCGGTGATGATTTGTTTACAGAAAAAAAAATATAACTAGTCCCATGGTTTGGGCATTTCTTTTCTGTACGTCTCTGACTGGTGCAGTGCTACTAGATTAAAGATTAGGTTTAAAGTCTGAGAGGTTTGCTTGCTCTCAGTTAGTAAAATGATCGTGTGGTTTTGTCTGCACATGTGCATGTGTGGATGTTCCAAATGCACCTGAATTAACAGGACAAAAAAGGTTTTACCCAAATCTAAACATTGCTTTGATGTTGTAAGAGGGGATTATAACTTATATTATATCATAAGGGTCATTGTACTCGCTGCACTGAACGACCAACTCTGCTTTACACAGGGACATAAACAATCCCTGTGGATTGATCCTGATAGTAAAAGACTGAATGAGAGTTACAACACAACCACTCCTTCCTTCAGTGTAGTCCAGTTACAACCAGGTATCATAAAGCAAACATTATAAAGGACAGCAACAGCTATACCAGAAAAATAACACAAAACTGAATTGAACATGTGCACTGTAAGAAAGTGAATCGTTTTAAAGGATAGTTTTTTAAATTGTTGGACTAGCCTATCTGACTGTTAACAAAAAAAGGAAACATAATTTACCTCCAATTACTCCAACACAGAGGTACAGATGTATTATATTAGTTCCAAAAGAAGCGAGAGCCATGCCAGTGCAAACCAGGACCCCACCAACTAAAACCACAGGTCTGCTGCCATAGCGATTGACCAGTATACTGCTGACAGGGCCTGCACACAGGAGAGAAATATCTTACATTTTTGGCAACGTTCTGAGGGACAAATGGGATACGCTGCTTGGGAATGTGCCAATACTTGAAGTATGACGGCCACTAACCTCCTGCATACATAGAAGCAAGCATGACTGAGGACACCCAGGCAATCTCACTGTAGGAAACTGAAAAATATTCCTGAATCTCCTTGAAATAGATGGTGAGGGACTTAGGAAAGGCATACGAGAATCCTATGGAGATGAAAGCGCCGAAGACGACAGCCCAGCCCCAGCCTCCGTCTGGTGGAGTGTAGCCTAGATTGGTTGCTGCTGCGGGGGGCATGTTCAATTCTCCGGCTAGAAAGCGGGAACAGCAAAAATAAGTGAACAGAAAATAAACAAGTGCAACTTTTCAAAGAAAGAGTTAGATTCACATATTTTGCATCCATTATAAGTTTCACAAGACCTCACCTCGGCCCAGTCCTTGAAACTGTATCGCAAAGTCTATGAACTCAGTCCATGTGACACAGTCTTGCACTGGGACAGAGTTCACTCTGCTGTAAGCTCTTTGATCTCATCACGTGTGCTGTCATGCAAAATATGAGTGGCCATACAAAATAGAGCAATAGCCAAGCACTAGATATTGATGACAATAAATGCTTGTAGGAAGTGTAATTCAACTGCTAAAATATGTTTCTTTTAACATACGACCCTTTCATAGACATACATTGGTTTTACTGCCGAGGCCCTTTGAACTCATGTAAGCAGTGTTTGTCTACTCCTATGTGTTTGTGCACTGCAGGTGGGTTGGTCAAAATGACATTCTCTTTTGGGAAACCTTTAAAGCTGGGATTTATGTTTTGATGTCATGCCCCCAATACAATGGCACCCCCCGATGGCAGGGGGTCTCCCTCAGCAGGGCTAACTGAAAAAAAAAATGCTTGGAACTTCGTGCCAATCTAACTAGATCCCCAGAGCTGTTTTTTCAGTACATGTGGGAGGGACTTATACAATATTAGGAAGGCTTTCTTAATTTTATGGTTTGTCTGCACGCTTTGATTAAGTAAAAATTAATTAACTGAAAAACTGTGTTTTGTACATGTTGTGAAAAACAGCGCTGGCTACAAATTCAATGTCAGCAGTGTTGGGCCATGTGGTTGCTGAATGTGAATGCTGGAAATAATTGGTCTCTATTTTATTTTCTTAAAATTATGAGTTGTTTAAATTGATGTAGTCACTGGATATTCTTTCAGCTTAGCACAAAATCCCTAGTTTTTATGCTTCAGCTCTATTGAAGAAAAAAATCTGAAAAATGCTTTGTGAGAAATTACAGGAGAAAATAAACACTCATAAGTTTGCATTATAGATGTTTATGGATCTTAAAATATGGGCTATGAAACACAGTACTGTATTTTTCCCCCTAAAATTTTATTATATGTACTTAAGGCTTGTTATGGAATAATTTTCGGCCCTACTGCAGATCTCACAATATTTTACATCCACAGACAAATTAGATCTGTACAGAAAAAAATACAGCTCTGTTCAAATGTGTATTTGCTTCTAATAACTAATCTCACAACCTTGGTATTCTATTCAAATTTCCAGCTTTCAGTATCGAAATTAGCAAATTAATCCGGTATGGATTATTGGTGTATCTTTTAGAGGTGCTGTGAGCTCTGTTTTTTTCTTTCATGAGTTATTTAAAGATGTCTAGATGCTGAGCGATAATGTGCTCCAATTCAACCTCCTCATTAATCAGCTATTGAGACTGCAAACCGCATGTTTTGAAAGAAATACAACAAACACTACATAAAATTCAACTGAGAGGATAATAATTACAATTTATGGATTAGAATTTAAGGAAATTAAACAGCTGACATATCCTCACTAGCCACTTCATTAGGTACGCCTGAGTTGGGCCACTTTTTTCTTTCCGAACTGCGTGCATAGATCATACAAAGGTGCTGGAAACATTCCTCTGAGATTTTAGTGTATAAAAGTATGTTAGCATCACACAGTTGCAGCAGATATGATGTTGCACAAACATGATGTGAATCTCCGGTTCTACCGCATCCCAAATATGCTCTGTTGGCTTAAGATCTGGAAAGTGTGCCAGAGAAACCAGTCTGCTCAGTTGAGTTGGTACTAAAGGTCTCAAAGTGTGTCAAGTTTGGTAAAGATGTTCAAACTGTAGCATCCCTTTCCTGTCCTTATCTTTCACAACCGGCACCAGGTGTGGTCATCTGCAGCTCTAACCCATCTGCTTCAATCTTTAACTTGTTGAGCATTTAGACATGCTCTTCTCCATGCCTTGGTTGTAATCAGTGGTTATTTGAAATGCTTCATTTTGGCTCAAAGCACCTCTGGCATCAACTTCATCAATCAAGTTTCCACTCGGAAAACTGGTGGTCACTGGATATTTCTCTTTTTTTTGACCATTCTCTTTATGGTTGTGTGATCCAAGCAGTTTCAGACCAGCTATCTGGATACCTGCAAAGTCACTAAAATCTCCTTTTTCCCAGTTCTAAAGCCTGTTCAGTTGGCTAATTAGATGTGTGTAAAAATAAAATAAAAAATCAAACTGAAAACTAAACGTTCAAAAACATGGAATGTGGAAATGTAAATAAATACTCAGCATTTCTGTTTGTAGACGTAAGTCAGGGAACTTCTCGCACTCCAGTCCACTAGATGGCGATAATAAAACAAAGCCTAGATTGCCTCAAAGGGGGAAGAAGAAGTTATTCAAGAGTTATTCAAACGCTTGTATAATCTGGTTGTTAGTTGGGGAAAAGTCAGGTTGATTCCAGTGCAAGTTAGAGCTGTGTAGCCATTTGTAGCTTCAGATGTTTTCAAAAGTGAGAACATGTTTGACTTCGGGTTTAGCCAGATTGCCCAGTTGTGTAAATTCAAGAGTAACATCTGTGCCCTGCAAACATCAGCATCGCACCTTCAGTTCTGAGTCTGCTGGTGTCAGGGTGAGTTGCTCCCACTGTCTCTGTTTCTGCTAAACTTGTCTTTAAAATTTTAGTTAGCGGTCTGTAAAACGGGTAAACCGTTTTTAGGATAACATACTGGTTAATATGTAAACCCTGTAAAGTAAATGATTCCGCGTTACTGGTTGAAATGTCTCCAGTTTGGCAGTATAATATAAAATGATTTAAAACCACGCTTACGATTTCATAACGCTTATTTTACATGTGTAAGACTCATTTTTGACCTTGTCCTCACTGTGTGGTAGTATCTGTGCCAGCTGAGCGAAATGAAAGTTGCACTTTGAACGTTGTTAACTTAAGACAACGCTGTGGCAATACGCAACTCAATTTTTAGTTGATGGACGTTTTCCTGGGCCAAATTCAAATCATTCAGGATCTTTGATGTAATGACTATTAATGAGGTAATCTCATCAGGGTTAACATGTCTTTTTGAAAAAAGATTATGATTTCTAATGTCAGTCACATGTGTTCAGTGTGAACCTGCATTTATTTGTGAAGCGAATGGGGTCCATCGGTGGACCTGCCAGTCCTGCTTTTCTTTGGTAAACTCAGTTGAGCTGCAAGGTCAGGCCCTCATGTCATGCACGTGGAGTCTGGTTCTTCTTACAGTTTGATCAAAAGCTGGCACAAGTAGGTCATTCTCAAGGGCTCTGTTCCTCCTCGAACAAAGGCGCAGTTATCTCTCCTGCTGCTGCGTTGATGCCCTTGTGCAACCCTGTCCAGCTCTTCTTGTGTAGCAGCCCGTCTCCTATATGTCCTCCACTCTCCTGTGCTGAGACTGAGACTGTAAACCATCTTGTGATGGCATATTAGTATATGGAACTACCTGTGCAACCTGAATGGGCTGCAAGTACCATCTAACGCTACCAGTAGAGACAAGGAAACTAGCAAAAAGGAAAGAGAAATATCAGTCAGGAGCGATATGGGGAGAGCAACAGTCTCACCATTTTGCTGCTTCTCCAATGCAACTGTTGTACTTTCATTTGAACCAAAGCAGGTTAAATGAATCCACAAGGGTTTATGCCTCCCAACAGGATTGATATCCTTCAAGTTTAACGGAATTTTGGAAAATTAGGGATAAAATATCAGACAATTCCTCATGTAAATGTCTGTTCTCCACTCTTTTCCAGGTTCTGTATGATGGGCTTTGTCCAATATGTGTGACTGAGATCCGTTTGCTCCAGTTTCTGCAGAGAAACCGGCCTGAGAAAGTACATTTCATTGATATCTCTCTGCCAGGTTATGATGGAACAAAATACAAGGCTATCACCTATGAGATGGCCATGAAGGAAATGCACGTGATTGATAAGAAAGACAAGGTGATTATTTAACCAAGATTTTAATGAACCTCACAATATGCAGTTTAACCTAAGTGTTGTATTATGCACCTTCATGCTGTGTGTTACCAGGTTCACAGCGGAGTCCCAGCGTTTGCAGTCATGTATAGCGCCGTAGGCCTCGGTTGGTTGGGTCGCTTTATGATGTGGTCACCTGTGAGACCATTGATGGACAAATCCTATGACATCTTTGCCAGGAACCGCTTAAAGTGGACCGGACGTGGAGAGGAGTGCACCACAGGACGCTGTGAAAAGAAAATACCCTGACGCTCCAGCACTGTTTTATAAGTACTGTAAATATATGAAGAACTGCATAAATATCATGCTGATAATCCTGTAAAAAATGGTTATGTTGGTTATGTAGTTCACCTAAAGTAATTTAAAATAACAACAATGATGCAGAAATAAAATTACAACTGTAAAATAGAGCTGAAGATGAATGTATTCAAATAAATATTTCTGGATGTACAGGTTTCATTAAATGCAGTTTGAAAATCTGTTTTTGACTGATAACAGCATTTTGTCATGATTTTTATTCTTCCTCTGGTGTGTATTCGTATCAGCAGATTGGTCCAATCTTACTTCTAACAAAATCACTGGGGAGGTGGCAGTCAGACCCAAGATAGTGGCTATGGAAACAGATTTTTAAAAAAGAAAAAAGCTTTGCTGTACATGGAAAGAATCATTCTTGACAGAAAGGATTGTGTGTTCTGTAAAGGACTGTCATGTATTCATCATATACACGGTGCAGAGATAAGACTCAAAGTCACTGAAGCGGAATATGATCAATTTCCTGTCATGCACAGCGGTTCATTCAAAGCCGATTAAGAACCAAACTGTCAAGAATCTGCCACTAGATGTCATTGTAAGTCTGCGAGAGTGAAATCGTTCTTTAGAAATTGTGCTGAATTGTAGCAAACTGATCAGATCATAGCCAGAAGAACAAATACGAGCAGAAATGTCAAATTTAGTGGATTTGTTTAACAAAAAAAAAATCAAAACTACTGAAGCTCTCTGATTATTTATGTCTTTTTTGTGACTATTGTTTTGAAAGTAACGTCAGTGTCTGTGTGCTGGAGAGAAACACGTGAGCCCCTCCTCTTATGTTTCGCCAAAAATAAACAGCTGTGTAGAACGGCATGTGCTGGTGAAAGATTACATGAGATCCTGCAATAGGACAAAAGTGTTTATAAAACACTGTTGGTTACAGCGTAAATGTCAAATGGAATTTACTTGTATGGCACTTTTTTCTTCTTACTTAATCAATTTGAGCATTCGAAGTGTTTTCTTGCTACAAGCTTCATTCACCCATTCAAACATGCCTAATCAATTTGCATAAAATTCACAAACACACTCGTGCTCCACTGGGGGGAAATTTGGGGTTCAGTATTTTGCCCAAGGATACTTACACGGATACTTACAGACCTGGGAGACGATACTCCGGACATACGCGCCAGGGATCGAACGCTCTAGGTAGGGGACTTGCTTCTGCCTCCTTGGGCACAGCTGCAAAGAAGGAACATGACACAAGGTCACATAAGCACATATTTAATTGTTTTTGCTGAATAACATTGGCCCATTTAAACCATACATCCAGGCTCTAATTTAAAACATGAGCACACTTCGTAATATCCATTTACAACTGCAGACTTCCAGTTGTTTGCATCACATGTACCTTCCAGCTTGGGCACAGCTTCTAAGAATTGGAGTGCTGTTTGCGGTGATGAGTCACAGCTCTGTCTGTTTGGTGTGTGTGATGTGTGGTGATGTTTAAAGCACCCAACATGAGTTCACTGAGACCTTAAGCTGTCACCCCATCCCTAATTTTAGACTTGTGCTTGTCAGCAGTGACAACACATGACCTTAAGCCTGTGTGTCTTATTGAACACTGGCCAAGCCAGTTCGCACCCCCCATACACACCCCCAGCCCAGCCCAGCAAATGAGATTAAAGTCCTGCGTGTAGGAAGGATTGAATCAAGTGTCAAAACACAGCAGAAAAAAAAAGCGACTCTGACAGTCTGTCAAAACTGCTGTTCTGGATTTTAGAGAGCAGGCATCTGCACGAAGAGGAATTGTGAAGACAGGAAAACTTGGTGTTATGTTTCAGGTAAATCTTTAGTGTGTACGCTTTCAACACATATTCTGTCAAGGTTACATTTTCTGTCATTCGTGACCTCTCCTTGCTTAAGTGGAAGACTTTAACCTATGTCGATGTTTGATTATTGCATACCCGAGCTGTCTGCCTTTTAGTTTGTATAGCCACCTTAGTGCATGCACTTCATTTTACATGGTATTAACCATTCCACCATTATTGATAAGGATAAGAGATTAACTACAGGCAAAGCCGTGTGTGTGTGTTGTCAAAATGGAAATATGGAAGTACAGATACACCATAGAGAGTTATTTATAGGCCACGCTTTTTTCTGGAGGTTTCATGTTACATTCTTGTGGAGACAGCATAAGGAAAGAAAGGCACCAGACTATTGTAAAACATGATGCCTGTAGTTTGATCAGTCAGAGTTGTTTATAGTTGTTTATGTGCATGTCATCAGCGCAGACAAGCTTTGGAAACATGAATGCAATAATTTTATAATTTTATGTAATATCCCTAGTATTAATATTTCATCTTTGACTCACAACTTTCTCATAATTAGATTTACAAGTAAAAATGATGAAACTATCATGAGCTGCACTTCTTTTTGTTATAATTAGCAAAGTTTCTGATCATGTATGACTACTAAAGCTCAACATGTCAATATCATGTGTCATGTAAGCATTTTGTTTAACACACTCCTGCAGCCACAGAGCGTCATTATTGTGTAGCGCTGACTTAGTTGTTGTTCAAATGTTTTGTTGACTTTTCCAGATTCCTGCTGAATATGCCACTGCAAGCTGACTCAGTGCTGAGTGATATTTAGGCTTTGACTGAGTGCCGCTCATCAAGACAACATGGGTCGTTACCTGAGCACAAAATTGTGTTCATGTTGTGTGAACAGGACATTGAAATTGTACAGCAAATATAAATACACAATGAACCTTCTCAGAAAGGACCATGGTCTGACTAAAGCACCACTCTGCCTTGACCTACATAGATATTTACAGCTGTCACCTCCTCAACCTTCCAGGTTTGCAACAAAAGCCACTTTTAAAAAAGTAAAGCACAGCGATACAACCTCTACCTTTTATAGCCTCCTTAGAGACCTTACAGAAAAGTCGAGACATCTTCAGGCTCTGCGTTTTTATTCATCTTCTAATAAGGATGTCTTCAAAGCCAAAGCTCCAGTTGGGATTTTTGACGAGGCTCAGAACAATTCTCTTTTAAGTTCGGTTGGAGGGTGTCTTGGTCAATCATTTAATCAATTGTCCAGACACATTAACATTTATTTCAAAAGAAAAGAAGTTTTAAGTCTGTCTGAAAATGCCAGTGTTGTCATGTCTACTCCAGAGTATGCTTGCAGGTCACAGAGGATTAGTCAAAGTCAGCAAGCAGCCACAGAGGAAAATATACCTGAAAGCAAAGACACAACACAGACCTTGAAATATAAGGACAAACAGTGGGACTCTGTAACAAGTCATTCAACTCAAGAAACATCTGGACTGCAGTTATTTCACATCAGCTCTCTCACGACAAGATTTGGTGAGGGTTACGATTATGTTGCTCATCACATTAACACAGTTTTCTCTCAGGGTTTGGCAAAAGTTCAAAAGCAGGAGAATTTGGAGCCTCCTTCCAAAGAGACAAACAGACGGGAGAAGAGACGAAAAATACAAATCAGAGGTAAACAGTCTCAAGTAAAGGCAGCACTGGAACCCGACAGTAACTCCAGTACCTGGGAGGAAGGATACCTTCACTTTGCAAGGCACATTAATAAATACTTTGGTGCCAAAGTAACAGATGAAGCTCAGAATACGAAAGAACAACCTCTCATAGAGAAGGATTGGACTTACAAGAAACACCTTTTAACACAATCCACCTCACAAACTCACAGTGCCAGTTTACAACTGAAGCAAGAAGAATCTATCACCCCAGGAGCTGCAGGCAGTTTCCACAGCAGCTGTAATACAACTAAAATCAGTGAGAACTATTTTCAAACATCCCAACACATCAATCAGTATTTCAAGGGTCAAAGTGGAGTGAATGAGGACACTGAATCCCAAAAGTCCCCCAAGAGACTGAAGAGTGTATCTTTTATGGATTACCTCTGCAACCCCACAAGTACCATTCCAGAACTGCTGGGTGTTTATCGAAAAAGCAACTCCAAAACTGCCATCTCTGCCCCGCGGGCAGTATTAAATAAAAAGGTGAGTTAAAGTAACATTTTCATTAATTCCCAGTTAATGCCCCGATGAACTAAGTAAGATAAAAATCTGCTCTCATTAGTAAGAGGCTAAAATACATAAAAATGAACTTTGATGCGATTCTGCTTGTTTGTCAGCTTGTCTTGAATAGGAAACAAGCAGATGAAATGACATGTGTGTTCGCTGATAGCCTGAGACTGGCTTCTACTCCAGAAGATCTGACTGACTGCGTAGAAGCACTCAATGAACACCTTATCCACTACCCCTCATGCAAAGCCTTAATCTGGAAGGTCTGTTGAGAATTAAACACAAATACTTATATTTAACAGTTGTTTTAATCTCATTAAATTTAAAACATGTGTTTGTTTCCAGGAGAAAATTGCAGTTTCAATGCTGAGACAACGGAAGAACTATGAACATAACCAGGAACTTCAGGCTGCATTAAGAGAAACTTTGGCTCTTATCGGATATGCGGATCCAGTCAAAGGCCGTGGCATAAGAGTCCTCTCAATTGATGGTGGTGGAACGAGGTAAATGTAAGAAAAAATAGATCATTAAGCACTCAAAACAACTTTAACTACACATTCATGAAGCATTTTGTTTAGTACACATTAAGCACCATAACTAGCTAACATTCATGGTCAATTCAGAATTACCAGTTAACCTAGCATGTATATCTTTGGACTGTGGATCACAGGTATTCCTTGTATGTAAAGTGGTAAAGTACCTCCTTGAACTCTATCATTCAAAACCACCCTTTTCTTTGATTTGATCCATGTCGGTTAGGCTAAAATCCATCTGAATACATATAGGTGAAATCTGACCTGGTACAGCCTCTGTGCAGAAAAATTTGAAGCACCTGTACAAACTACAAATATTTTTCATTTTCGTTTCTTTTGTATTTTGGGTCACTCCAGGAAAAATCAATCAAATACATTTATTGTGTTTTTACTGCTGTTAAATGTCAAAATGGGTTTAATTTGAGCCAAACAGTATATAAAGGTTAAGCTGTGCCTGATGGTATCCACTGTTTCTGTGTATGACTATGCTAATGTGTTCATATTTCTGGGGGTTTATGTTTTCCTTTTTCTTTGCATTTTTCAGAGGTGTTGTGCCTCTTCAGATATTAAAGCTGTTGGAGGATCAAACAGGCAAAAAGATTCACCAGCTGTTTGACTACATCTGTGGAGTGAGCACA